CTTCTCACATTTCATTAGCCAAAGGAAGTCGCATGGCAATACCTAACTTCAGGGGGCCAGGAGGTACAATCCTACACGGAGCCCAGGAGCAGACAGAAATGTTTGACAGGCAGCACTAAAGACTCCCAAGAGGCCCGAAGAGGTAGCTGGGGCTGTGGGTGGACACATTAAGGAGTCATTTTGAGTCCACTTAAGCATGACCTTACCCGGGACCTGGTGAGTAGCTGCCAGCAGAAGGGCACCAGCCCAGGTAGGATGGGAGCATGGCAGGGAGGTGGTAGAAGAGTCCCCACCATCACGGGCATCATGGCCTGTGTGGCCGTGCACGGCAGCGGCAGTCAGGGCAAGGGCTCTGAAGCCAGAGGGATTTGGGTCCAAATCCCGTTCTCTCTTATTAGCTGTGTTGCTTTGTGCAGATTATCTAACATCACTGGGTCCCAGTCTCCTCCTCGGTAACATGGGGGCAATCACAAGTCCATAGGATTATCGTGAGGATTAAATGAGGTGATATATATGAAGCCCAGAGCACCCCACGCCTGGCACATGGGAAGCTCTAATCAAGTCAGTTGTTCTTGTTGTTCTCGCTCCTAGCCAAGATCCTGTGACCGGCCCTCCTGGAATTCTTGGCTACATCCTTTCCCTGGCCTCTCACACCCCTAAGACATTAGTCAGCGGCCAGGGCAGGGTTGGGAGAGCTCTGTGCACTGGCCGGGCAGGCTGAGCTCCCCCACCCCACCCCCTATGTCTTATGTCTGCGGAGGTGGGGTGCTTTCCCTAACCCACCCCCGCTCCCCAGTGTTTCCCCCTCCTACTGGCTCCCAGCCTGACTGCAAAGCAATTTCCTGCTCCAGCTCACCCCCAGATCTTCCCTGACAACCGTGGATCTAATTTCTCTCTGTGCTTTCGCCTTGTCCACAGTGTCATATAAATGGAGCCAGACGGTATGAGGCCTTTCTGCTGTCCCTTGGTTTATCTGCTTTACAGGCGTTTGGCGGGATCAGACGGGAGATCTCCCGGCCCCTTCCTCCCACCCAGCTAGATGGCTGGCATCGGCTCCTCGGTTGCTCTCTTTGTAACGCCGAGTAACATACTTACACCTTCGGCTGTAGACAGTGTCCCTAGACTCCCCACTCTCTGAGATTAAGCTATCTTCCCCTTCCCATAAGCTCTCAAATGACATTTTGGAGACATGGGGACAAGGTGTGGCAAAGTGAAGTAGTGGCATGCTTTAGAAATGGGTGCTGCAGGAGCACAGAGGAGGGGTGGGTAAGAGAGGCTTTCTGGAAGAGGTGAGGTTGAGCCCGGCCTTGCCCTCTTATTAGAGCTGCCCGCCAACCCGCTACCCTTGCCTGCGGGCCCCGACCTGCAGTACCGTACTCCAGACACCAGGGGGAGGGCAAGTGGCTTCGCTGGGGCCACCTCTGCACCGATGGACCTTGGGGGGCTCAGCTCTCCCCACCCCAGTTTCTCTAGGTTCTCAGCTCTTAGCCCTCTACCCCCGTGGAGCCACCTGCGTAGGGGTTGGGAACCTGCAGCCTCAAGGCCACACGTGGCCCTCCTTTATTAAAAGGATTTGTTCCATAAAATTTACATTCAGTCAAAAGGCCACACTGAAGGATCCAGAAGGCCACAGGTGGCCCCAGGCCTGCAGGTTCCCCACCCTGCTCTCTCTCGTTTGCAATCCTGGAAAGCGTGGTCTCCAGAGCCTTCGTATGGGACTCAACTTGTTAAACTCCTGGGCTCCAGGGCCCTGCCTCAGGGCTCTTGTTAGGAGACACGGCCCAGGACTATGCATGTGTAATGTTTGGCCCGTGTTCTCTCGTACACAGAACGGACTGAGAGCCTCAGAGTCAAGGCTTTCCGTGATCTCAGCCCTCAGCCCCTCCGACCTCTCCATCCCCTTCTCTCCTGTTGTCCACGGCAGTTTCCCGGTAAAGGGTCTGTAATTTGGGGAAACACAGGTTTGATTCCTGGGGGTTCACTGTCCACTCTACCATGTGTTGTGAAGAAGCCTGTGTGACTTTGTTCAAACTGGCATTTCCCCAAATAATTTGGCAGGGAACTCCCTTTCCCCCCATTTGAGGCCTGTTTACATCGCCCGTGGCACACCTTGAGCAAGGCCATCCTAACCGCCTCCAGGCCTCACCTGACTGTTCCCACCATGCACTTTACACTGCACCCCCCCCCCCCAGGAAGGCTGCCCAGGCTCTGTAGCACCCGCAGCCTGGAGCTCCTTGGGGCTCCAGCCTCAAATAACCCTCCGTTCTATGTCACTTCCTGTCATTTATTAGATGCTTCAGTTCTAGCCATCTCGGTATAAGAAAACCTCCTCCCTCCCTTTGTTCTGGAGGAGAAACAAAGGCACAGGTTCTCCCAGCCAACGTCTCCAAGGGAGGGAAAGGCAGAAAGACTCATTCTAACCGCCTCACCCCAAGTCTAGCCCATTCCACAGGCTGAGCCCCAGCAAGTTGGCCCTGGTCCCTTCCCAGGTCACCCCTCATCTACCAACTCTGCCGAACGCAGACCACTCGCTCACTGTTACTGCTCCGGGCTGATCTCCAGAGCACGTCCTCAGAGGGGACTAAATGTTGCTGCTGCTAAACTTTGGGGCCACCTGGATTTTCATTCTCCATCCTTTTAGCCCAGTGGTTCCTAAAACTTTTGGATTTCAAGGGCCTGTGAGCCAACTATACCCCCTGCCCATACGGAGGGCCAAATAATAGTCTCAACTTTTAATTTTGCCAAAGAACCCACTAAAATATGATCTGATCTGCATTTCTGTTTTCTCAAAGTGTGGTTCTTGGAGCCTTTGAATAAGAATCCACCATCATTTTATAAAATAATTTTAATGCGGATTTTAATATCAATATTTTTATTTTAATACCAAAACAAGGAAAAGAAAAGACTTCCGGAATAAAGTCCCCTAAGTTAATAAATTTAATTTTATGGAAGGTTCACTATATTGTCCTCAATTTTTCTATTTTGTGCAGACCAATGAAAACCTTGCCACAAACCAGCCCATGTCCCTGAGCGGGGGTTTGGGAAGCAAGCAGATATGTGCACCTGCTCTGAGCACAAGGTCTGTGCTGGGGACTGGGCTGTGATTGAAATGCCAAGGCAAGGCAGTTCTGGTTTTTAGCACATATTCTGCATAATGTGAAGACCTGACATTTTAAATGAAAGATATATTATTACCATTATTTTCCATACTTGATCTTTGTGCTGTTCCGAGGATTGAGGGTTTATGAGCATTCAAGAAAACAATACCCTGTCACGCTGCACACAGTGTCTACTCTGTGGGCGGGATGTGCCTAGAGTCTGTGGACAGCTGGGGGGCACTGGGCTTGAGCAGCACAGGCAGGATGGGGACGGGTGGGGCCTGCGCGGTGGGGGATGGCTGGAGGATCCGGAAGCGCCCTCTGCAGAAGATGAGTTCCAGGAAGGTCATGGTGTGGCCTTCGTACCTCTGAAGGATTGACCCAGGGAGCACTGAGCTGCCTGACACTCTAAGACCCTGGAGAGAAGAGCTAGGCCCCGTGGAGAGAAGCGTAAGCTTGGGAAAGGAAAGAAGTTCTAGAAATCAGAGATGCCCTAAATATAGAAGCTTCTCGTTACTGAGTACAGGGGCTGGACAGCCTGTTGGTCTGGGAGGAGGTGGAGAGGATTACTGTATTTAAATAAAAATAACGAAATTAAGTAAAAATAATAAAAATGATTTTATGTTTATAGTACTTGACATTTAATAAGTTGTTTTGGTGCAATTGAGTTTCAAGAAAAGTCTTAAGAGGTAGGTTAAGTCTTAAGAATTATTCTGACTTCAGATTCAAGATGGCAGATTAAGGACACATAGCAGTGAACAAAACAGACAAAAATGCCTGTCTTCATGGAGCTCACACTGGAGAAGTCTCATGGATTTTTATATTACCCTTAAGACTCTGGAAGAACCTGAGGATAGGATAAAATAAGGCAATACAAGAAAAAAAGAAAGGCAGTTATAAACTACAAGGAAAAAAAAGGCAAGAAAAACAATAAAGGCAATTTAATTGTAGCATGCTATTGATTATACTCTAAACAATACCTACATTTTCATAAGAATGTAAATGCTGGTTTTGATTTTTTTGAAACAATTTATAGACAAATCATACAAGCTTAGCGATGATTAAAGAACAGAATGTAAATGTTAATTATCCTGACGATATAAAAATAAAATGTATAGCCAATAGAATATTCAATTAAAAGGTGGGGACATGTAAGAAAAGGTGGAGGAGATAAAAGCCTTAGCCTCATACAGGACTGTTGAGGTATTGAACAGAGTTAATTAAAAAAAGAAACAGAAGTATATTATTTAAGTGTTCAAATATAATCAGTAGAAAACAGACAGATGATAGACAGATGGATCAAACACAGAGGAAGAGAAAAAAGAGAGAGCTTATGTGAATGAAATTCTCCTTTCTCATTGCTTAAAGTTGATGCTCCTTGGTGGTCTCGTGGTTAGGGTTCGGCATTCTCATTGCTTAAAGTTGGTAAATCAAGAAATGGATCCATAAGCATTTCTGAAGCTCTAAAATTTCAGAAGCTAAGCCCCTAAATAAACACAAACAGAAGTGGTTAAAAGAGCTTGCCTTGGGGAAGTGAATCAGGGTTAGGAAAGGTTGGACCAAGAAACTTGTTCTTCATCACAAACACGTGTATAACCAAGTGTAACACTTCTTGGTTTTTAAAAAAATACATGTAATGTATTATTTTCATGTTGTTTTTATTTATTTGTTTGTTTGTTTAAAGATGGGGGTCTCACTCTGTCACCCGGGCTAGAGTGTAGTGGCTTCATTATAGCTCACTGCAACCTCAAACTCCTGGGCTCAAGCCATCCTCCTGCCTCAGCCTCCCAAGTAGCTGGGAATACAGATGTGTGTCACCACACCTAGCTAATTTTTAAAAATTTTTTGTAGAGGTGGGGTCTTGTTATGTTGCCCAGGCTGGTCTCGAACTCCTGGCCACAAGCGATCCTTCTGCCTCAGCCTTCCAAAGTGCTAGGATTACAGGCTCATGCTGTTTGTACATTTAAAAACTACCTTCCCCATAACTAGGCAAGGAAACCGACCCTCAGCGAGGTGAAATATCTTTCTTGAGGTCAGGACATTAAGAAAAGAAGGGACCAGGAATGGACAGGATCTCCACAGACACCAGCTGCTCTGAGCTGGGTGGGGTGCTCCACACTACTCTGAGAGTTCCTTCTCCCTGATTTCTAGAATCACCACCCATACAGGCTGCACTGCCTGTGCACCTGCTCCTTTCTCTGTCTGGTGTGTCCCTCCCAACCTCCTCCATGGCACGTGCCAGTTTAGTTTTCATGCCCCAGCCCAGTATCAGTCCCTCCGTAACTGTGACTCTCTTTTGTTCTCTGTCCATACTATGTCCTTGCCTCTACTATATATAACGTTTCTTTATGATCCCACAGGATCATAAATATTTGGTTACCAGCCTCTCTGTCCATCTTGCTGTCTCATTTGCTAGACAGTGAGCCCCTCAAGGCAGCGGTGTGTGTCTGATTCACCCCTGTACCCCATCTCCCACGCCGGTGCCTGCCACTGGGCATTCAGAAGCATCTAGGGAACTTGTGAATGGGTGGAGTGCATGTGGCTTTGCCTCTAAGATTCTGGTCCAGTGGACTGAGGCCCCAAACCTTGGCCACAGGACTGACAGCCGTGGACATGGCTGTTCCATCAGGTTCAAGCTCATCTCTAAGTGACTCTCCCCACCCCCACCCCCACCCAGCCTTTATAATCTGCCACCCTCCTGTTTCCTTGTCTTCCTCCCTCACCCCAAGGTTTATCTGCAAATCTCAGCACTCCCAAAAGGCATGCTTTAAGAGCCAAGTGGAGCCTTCCATCTGGATTGAATTAAATCACTGACAGAGTTATGTCCCCGAGCCAGCAGGGGCCGGAGGAAGGCTTTGGGAAGGGACCGGACCTTTCCTCCTTAGAGGAGCTAACTCAGAAGAAAAATATTGTGCTGGTAAGAGCTGCCCAGAGTGGTAGGAGCAGGGAGACGGATGAATTGAGCAAGTCTCTTGCTAGATGCGTGCCCCCAGGCGGGCTTTCAAGTCTGTGGGCCCCTCTCCTCACTTGGATAGTAGGGGTAGTGGCACATGCTTCCTGCTGGAGGGTTGAATGAGACAGCGCATATGGAAGTGTCCAGAACAAGGCTGGCTCTGAGCGGGGGCACAGTCTGTGTGAGCTTTCGGTCCTCTCTTGTTCTTCTTTTCTTTTTCTCTATTTTTGTTCTTATTTTTTATCACAATTACCTATGGGCATAGATTAAAAGACAAATTATTCATTTGTGACAGCAAGAACTAGTTTCCCACCCTGCTCCCACTATTTCTTTTTTCCTAGAGGTAACCACTCTCAGCTCTTTTTTTAGACAATTCTTTTGGTACTTACTTCCATATTTTGAAATAAATTGCCTGTACTGATACTTTCTGTATGTTCCATTTTATGCCTGACCAGTTGACTTCCTACATGGTCCATGAAGGTCCGATCTCCTTGGCAGGCCCCTCTCCCATCCTCACATCCTCCCCCCAACTCTCTCTCTCTCTCTCTCTCTCTCACATACACACACACACACACACACACACACACACACACACACACACACACACACACACACACACTTCCCGTGCTGCCCCCACCTTCCCACTGTGGTTGTGTTGTAAATTTGCTTACAGCCATTGTCAGGGTTCACATTTATTACGATTATGTAAACACTGCACTGCTGAGACAGGAATTGCCCACAGTTACTTTTTCCCTTCTGAACAGTATTTTCCCCTCTGGAATTAATAATTATTATTTCATTTGATTGTTTTTTTTTTTAAATGTTTGGTATACTTTATTTTACGTACCCCAACACCAACTCCGTTGTGTAAATCTCTTCTCAGCGTGTTTGACCATATTTGAGAATCCAGCGTTTTTGTCTTTTTGGAAGAATCCCTCCTGACGCCCCTCTGACCGGCTCCTCGCTGGCTGGCTGCCCTCTGGGCTCACCGCAACAGTTGGCAACAGGGATCTGCTGTGACCTTCACCCCTTGTCTCTCTTGTGTTACGTGTGCTGTTTTCCCTCCCAAGTCTTTCTCTTCCTTGGTGTACACCCTCACTTTTGGCGTAAACCAAAATCTTCTAAGTAGCCTCCTGAAAAGGGAGCATATGAGGCAAATACTTGAAAATGTCCTTATTCTACGCTCGTACTTGGCTGATACTTTGGTGGGGCATAGAATTCTAGTTTGAAAATAAGTTTCCCTCAACATTTGGAATATGTGTCCGTGCCGCTTTCTAGCTTACAGTGTGCTGTGTACAGCGTAAAGCCGTTCCGATGACTCTTTGCAGCTAACCTGCTTGTATCTCTGTGATCCCTGAGGACCTGCTCTTTGCTCCAGGTGTGCTGGCATTTCATCACCTTGTCGTCTTGGCGTGGAGCTATTTTTACCCATTGTGCAGGGCACTCGCCGACACTTTCTGATCTGGGAATTTATGTCTTTCAGCTGTAGGAACATTTCCTGAATCATTTCTTTGGTGATTTTTCTCCCCAACATTCTCTCTGCTCTGTGTCTGGTCCTCTTGTTAGTCAGATGTCGGACCTCTAACTGATCCTCTGATTTTCTCATCTTTTCTTTCTTGATTTCTATATCTGCCATTTCTCCCCCCCCCTCTACTTTCTAGGAGAGTTCCTCAATTGCATTTTCTTTTCTGATGAATTTTCTTTCTTTTTAAAAATTATATATCCCTGTTTAAAAAATGAACAGATCTTATTTCTAGAGAAGTTTCAGGTTTGCAGAAAGGTGGAACAGAAAATGCAGCGTTCCCATAAGTACTCCCCCTCCCCCTACAGCCTCCCCTATTAACCTCTTGCATTTGAGTGGCACGTTTGTTACAACTAGCGAGCCGATATTGATATGTTATTATTAACTGGAGTCTACAGTTGACGTAAGGGCTCACTCCTTGTGCATTCTATGGGTTTTAACAAGTGTGTGTCATGTATCAGTCACCACATGTCATGCAGAATACTTTCACTGCCCCTAAAAATTGTGCTCTCTTCATCCCTTCCCTCCTCCAACCCCTAAACCATAGGCAGTTGATCTTATTTTTTTTTCATCTCTATAGTTTTGCCTTTTCCAGAATGCTGTATAATTAGAATCATGCAGTATGTAGCCTTTTCAGATTGGCTTCGCTCGGCTTAGTAATATGCATTTAAGTTCCCTCCCCATGTCTTTTTCACGGCTTGATAACTCATTTCTTTTTGTCACTTAGTAATATTTCACTACATGGATGTACCACAGTTTGTTATCAATTCACCTACTGAAGGACATCTCAGTTGCTTCCGGTTTGGGGCAATTATAATTAAGTTGCTATAAACATTCATTTGAAGGTTTTTATGTGGACATAAGTTTTCAACTCATTTGAGTAAACATCAAAGAACCCAACTGCTGGATCATATGGCAAGCATATGTCTAGCTTTGTAAGAAACTGCCAGACTGTCTTATGAAGTGAAAGAACAATTCCAACCAGCAATGAATGAGTGTTCCTGTTGCTTCATATCCTTACCAGCATTTTTAGTTGTAGTGTTTTGGGTTTAAGTCATTCAAATAGGTATGAAGTAGTATCTTATTGCTACTTTATTTGCAATTCCCTAATGACATATGATGCTGAATATCTTTTGCTTATCTGCCATCTATATATCTTCTTCGAGGAGGTGTCCGTTTTTTTAATGGGGTTGTTGGTTTTCTTATTGTTGAGTTGTAAGAGGTTTTTGTTTTTGTTTTTGTTTTTTGCATATTTTGGATACAAGTCCTGTATAGGATATGTATTTGCAAATATTTTCTCCCAATCTTTGTCATGTCTTTTCATTTTCTTAATCTAATGACTTTTTGCTCTTATTATATGCTTAATTCCTAAGAGCTCATTTTTGTTCTCTGAATGTTCTTTCTTATAGTTCTTTCTTTTTGTTTCATGTGTGCAATAATTTGTCTCATCTATCTGAGGATACTGATGGTAATTTTTCTTGAAGTTCTCTTCTCCTGGAAAAACCTCTATTTCTTCCAAGTTACTTTTCTTTCTTAGTAGAGGCCTTCCTCAAATGCAGGTGATTTTTTGCTTCCTTCTTATCTGAGGAAGACACCAAAAAATCTGACTGGATGCTTGTGTGTGTGTGTGTGTGTGTGTGTGTTGGAGTTGGTGGGTGCTTGGTGACTGAGGGCATCTCTCTAGGGTGATCGGGCTGGGTATTTTGTTGGGAGCCTGCGTTTACAGTCCTTGCCTCTATCTTATAAGCCTGGCTGCTTATAGTTTGGGATTTGCATGGGAAAAATTACTGAAGGTCTCAATATCTAGTAAGTAAATTTCTATTTTAAAAATGATTATTTATTTATTTTTATTTTATTTTATTTTTTTGTATTTTGGCATATTATGGGGGTACAGATTTTAAGGTTTCAATAAATGCCCATTTCCCCTGATTATTTATTTTTAAAATTTTTTTTTGAGACAGAGTCTCACTCTCTTGCCTGGGCTAGAGTGCCGTGGCATCAGCCTAGCTCACAGCACCTCAAACTCCCGGGCTCAATCAACCCTCCTGCCTCAGTCCTCTGGGTAGCTAGGACTACAGGCATGCGACACAATGCCAGGCTAATTTTTTCTGTTTTTAGTTGTTTGGCTAATTTCTTTCTATTTGTAGTAGAGACAGGGTCTTGCTCTTGCTCAGGCTGGTCTTGAACTTCCGAGCTTAAGCGATCCTCCTGCCTCAGCCTCCCAGAGGGCTAGGATTACAGGCATGAGCTACCGCGCCTGGCCTTTTTAAATTGACAAATAAAAATTATATATATTATCGTATAAAACACAATATTTTGATATATGTATTCATTGGGAATACCTAAAACAAGTTAATTACCATATGTATGTCCTCATATACTTATCATCTTTTTGTAATGAGAACACTTAAAATCTATTCTTTCAGAAATTTTCAAGTATACAGCACATGGTTATTAACTGTAGCCACCATGTACAACGATCTCTTGAACTTATTTCCCTTCACTGAAATTTTGTAATCTTTGACCAACATCTCCATCCATTTACCTAATTGTTCAATTCCAGCATGCATGTATAGCAGTAGCAAAATTGCTAACCTGTACTCCCATGGGAAATAACTAGAGTATAACTAGGCAACAGTAATTATTATAGGTACAGGGTTTTTACCTTTAATGTTACAGACTCCCCTCATTTCCAGGATCACCTAGGTCAGCACTGTTCCCCCTCCTCTCCTTCAGCCAGGTTGGTTCAGACATTTGTAAGACAATTAGATTGTTTTGTTACCCTTTTCATTCGATCTTGAGATCTGTTGACTTTCTACATGATTTAAAACAATTTTTGCAGACATTAAGGTTTATTATTTGTGCTGTAAAGTTCTATGGGTTTTGACAAAGGTACCGTTACAGCATCACACAAAATGTTTTCACAGTCCTTAAAAAACCCCGTGCCGTTCCTATCCAACCCTCCCCCACTCCCTGACAATCACTGATCTCTTTACTTTCTCTATAGTTTTGCCTTTTCTAGAATGTCATATATCTGAAATCAAATAGTATATAGCCTTTTCCCAATTAGCAATATGCATTTAAGAGTCACCCTTGTATCAACTCACGCTAGATAACAGACTTAAACCTAAGGTATGAAATGAAACTATTAGAATTCTAGAGGAAAATGTTGGAAACACTCTCCTAGACATCGGCCTAGGCAAAGAGTTTATGAAGAAGTCCCCAAAGGCAATCACAGCAGCAACAAAAATAAATAAATGGGACATGATCAAACTAAAAAGCTTCTGCACAGCCAAAGAAATAGTCATGAAAGTAAACAGACAACCTACAGAATGGGAGAAAATTTTTGCATCCTACACATCTGATAAGGGGCTGATAACTAGAATATACTTAGAACTCAAGAAAATCAGCAAGAAAAAATCAAATAACCCTATTAAAAAGTGGGCAAAGGACTTGAACAGAAACTTTTCTAAAGAAGACAGAAGAATGGCCAACAAGCATATGAAAAAATGCTCATCATCTCTAATCATCAGGGAAATGCAAATCAAAACTACAATGAGATATCACTCCAGTGAGAATGGCCTTTATCAAAAAGTCTCCAAATAACAAATGCTGGCATGGATGCAGAGAGAGAAGAACACTCCTACACTGCTGGTGGGACTGCAAACTAGTTCAACCTCTGTGGAAAGCAATATGGAGATACCTTAAAGCAATACAAGTGAATCTACCATTTGATCCAGCAATCCCATTGCTGGGCATCTACTCAAAAGATCCAATGACACTCTACAAAAAAGACACCTGCACTCAAATGTTTATAGCAGCACAATTCATAATTGCAAGGCTGTGGAAACAGCCCAAGTGCCCATCAATCCAAGAATGGATTAATAAAATGTGGTGTATGTATACCATGGAGTACTATTCAGCTCTAAGAAACAACGATGATATAGCACATCTTATATTTTCCTGGTTAGAGCTGGAACCCATACTACTAAGTGAAGTATCCCAAGAATGGAAAAACAAGCACCACATATACTCACCAGCAAACTGGTATTAACTGAGCAGCACCTAAGTGGACACATAGGCACTACAGTAATAGGGTATTGGGCAGGTGGGAGGGGGGAGGGGGGCGGGTATACATATACATAATGAGTGAGATGTGCACCATCTGGGGGATGGTCATGGTGGAGACTCAGACTTGTGGGGGGATGGGGGAAAGGGCATTTATTGAAACCTTAAAATCTGTACCCCCATAATATGCCGAAATAAAAAAAAATAATAAATAAAAATATATGCACTGTCTAAAAAAAAAAAAAAGAGTCACCCTTGTCTTTTCAAACTCATTTATTTATGTCTCTGAATAATATTTGATTGTATGGATGTACCACAGTCTGTTTATCCACTGAAGGACATCTGGGATGCTTCCAGTTTGGAGTGATTATGAATAAGGCTACTATAAAAATTTGCATGCAGGTTTTTCTGAGGATATATGTTTTCAAATCAGTCTGGTAGTTCAACAGACTTTGCCAAGTGGTTTCTCTTTTGGGATCCGTCTTCACACCCACTTCCAGAGAAAAGGGGCCCTGCCTGTTCTTGAGCTTTTGGGGGTTCTGC